CATCAAAATAACGAATATGATCACGAAATGCGTTCTAAATGGTGTTACCGTCGTCATCATCCGAAATAGTTCAATTGAATCAAAATTTTTCTCACACAGATAGCAAGATGAGCCACACGAAAAAAATGTAAGTCTTTCTCTTGTCGGAAAGAATGCACGTTTCGAAACGAAAACAGAAAAAGTGTGGTCAAGGGGAATCGCCATAAATAATGTAATGTGTTTACAATTGACAGTGAATGAGCAGTTGTGAGTTTTGTTGTCGTGGAAATCCTTGAATCAGGAGGATATTCATTTTATGTTGCAAAAAACAATCAAAAGATAGAAAAGGGCATTTTTTTTCCTCTTCGACACTCGGTTCGTTGTTATTTTTAGTATCTGCCGCACTCTCTCATTGGAGTAAGTGTTATTGCTTGATTTAGTCGGCGATGTTGTGAATGTTGCCTGTAAAGTTGAGAACGTCTCTCTTTCTGTGCGCACGTTGCGTGCCAACAGCAAATAACAACAGTTTAATCGTCATTATGCTATTATAATTATCAATGCTATTTTTTTCGCTTGTTTCTTTGATCCAATTCACGTCTCTAGCGCGCTCTCTCTCTCTCTCTCTCTCTCTCTCTCTCTCGTCTGCTGTGCTCTCTCATCGCAGAGAGAACAGCAGATGAAAACAAGACCGCAGAGCATCGCTTCGCTCCTCTCTGCATTCTTGAGTTTTTAGTTACTTATTCTATTTTGTTGTTAACTAACTATTTTTTGGCGCACTACATGAAATTTATTTCATCAAAGTAACTCTGAAGTAATATATTTATTTGCAACAAAGTACAGAAAAAAGATTCTCAGTTATTTCAAAAATAAATTACAACATCTTGGTTTTATTTCTTTTTTGAAATATACTGCCTCTGGTTTGAATTGAATGAATAATATGAGCATAGAATCTAAAATCACTTTAATTCGGTTCAAGACTCAGAAAAATACTATACGAAAAATTATTGTAATTTTTAAAAAACATTTGATAATAAAAATTTGATTGGCGCTTTGAAATATTATGCACTTATCTGTCGTAACTGCCACTGTTTTAAATTAAATAAAAAATATGAGCATAAAATTCAAATTCACCATAATTTGTTTCATCACTCAAAAAGTATTAAGAAAAAAAAGCAGATTTGTAGCTCTACATTTCATGTAGTGCTAAAAAACAACGTAAAACAGCAACGGCCGTGGTAGAATTAACGGCGACAACGGCGGATTATGGTGTGTGGGAGCAAAAGAGATGTCAAGAAAATAATAAATGAAAAATTGTTAGCTGTGGCCCGAAAGTGTTCGCATCGATTTCGAGTGGCGCACGAGCGATGGGTTTCACAAATTAAATCCGGGGAAAAAATCAGAATTTTTTTTTTTCATGCGACTGTATTAAATTGGCAAGAGAGAAATAGAAAAGCAGTGCGAGAGTGAGAGCCATTTAATAGCAGCTCGATATGACCGATGCACTGTATACACTTGACGAACGCGCATTAACCTTACGAAGAAAACGAAGCGCGAGAAAAAAAGTAACGAAACAAAAAAATAAAACTTGATTCGAAGCAAGAGTATGAGTGAAAAAAGGCAGAAGAATAACAGCGGTTCATGTAAAGCTTCGCTGCTCATTATAGTTTGCCACTTATTGTTAGAAATGAATACGCGAACACATATTCGAAGTATGCAGCGTGCGGACTTGCTGATAATTTCGTCTAAACGAATGAATGTACAAAAAAAAAAACACACACACACACACACACAACGAACGAAACCGAGAGAAAGAGCGCATTCGAAATGATTCGTTTTGCTAAACGATTGTTGTCTTCATCTCGCTTTCTTTCGTTTCATGTTTCATATCTGAGATATTGGTGGTGTTGCTTTGCCTTTTGCATTCGCGTGAGCGCACACGCTGTCCACACAATTTCGATTTGTTCGCATTCATATTTTTTTTTCACTAATGCCAAATTACTCGACCGCTTTTTTTCTGTCTTCCTTCTCTTCGTGTCTTTTTTGTTTGTTTGTGTATGTTGCTCGGTGCGCGAACCTGATTCCATGCACTATTACATCATCCCCGTATTTCGCACATCACATCCGTAAATGTAGCATTAATGCTGTATTTCAATCGACCGTTTCTCACTCTATCTCTCCGTTCTCGTCCGTTTTTTATATGACTTTTATTGGTTTTTATACCTTTATCCAGGGCCCCGTGTAATTTTCGTACTTTTTGTTGTTGTTCTGTTTCTCGGTTTTCACAAACACACCGTGCGTTGAGCCTTGATTTGGCGGTGGTCAAGCGCATCAGCCGTAATCAGTCGAATTAAATTTTTTCTCAATAAAATAAATACCATAAAATACCCAACAATTATATGCATGATATATGGATTTTTAAAACAACACTAATTTATTGGGAGTAAAATATATGTTGCATGAGATTAACATCTTTATTTCGCAGTTTGGGCTTTGGTGGAAATATTGTCGGAGCGTCTAAATGAGCTTAACTATTTTGTTTGTGTGTGTGTGTGTTTGCAAGTGCCAGAGTGAGAGAGAGAGAGAGAGAGAGAGAGAGAGCGAGAAAGACCGATTTAGTGCGCGAATTATTACATTTCATATTCGATATTATTTTGCACGAGTTGCAATCGCGACGCTTACGGATGCGCTTAACAAAATATGGAATATCAACGTCAAACAAAATAATGGAACATATTAAATATAATATTATAGATTTTCGATAGTGAGAACCGTTTTATGGCTATTACACGTAAGCGCAGCACGTTACACCATATTGGCTTGGCCTTTGTTTAAACAGTGTTAAACAAGGATTAAAATCGAACGAAGACGAGCGCGAGAAAGAGAAGAGATCGACCAAAACAACAGACTGAACCGACCGAGAAAAAAATTTATAGCGCGAAAATGAGATGATTAAAGAAACGAACTGGAGAACAACAAATAGCTCAAAACCTTAAATCGATGCACGGCCAAACGAAACACACAGACGTATTCTCTACGACGAGATATCTACGTTAATTGAACATTAAGCCCCGTTGGAGAGTGAGCGCTGTGTGCGCTGTGTGCACACACACACACCTTCCGAAAGCCATAGAGTCACTTTTTTTGCACGCGTTTCACGATGACCAATTGCATTTTCTCGCGCCAAACAATTTATAAAGACACCAATCCCGGTGCCCGCTGCTATTGGATCTCTCACTCTCTCTTTGTGTTTGCAACCAAAACAACGGCCTAACGGAAACGTGGAAAAAATAATTATCAACATTTGATTTCTGCGATTAAAGTACAACCAAGAAAAACTGTATTTCTAGGCAACTTAAGCTGTTTAACGTCCATTTTTCGTTGTTGTTGTCGTCGTTGTTGTTGTTGTTGCTGCTGCTGCTGCTGCTGCTGCTGATGTTGCGCGCGTCCGTTGTTGTTTTCTTAATTTAAAGTAAAGTGTTAAAGGTCAATTCCTGCATACAGCAATGTGAACCCAGAGAACCATTTCGCTTTGTGAACAACACGTATACTCGCACACAATTATCGATTATTTCGTGCCTCAAATCACACTCCTCTTCGGTTTCCGATCGAACAATACACGGTAACAACGAAACGAAAGAGATCTAACTCGACAATAGATTAAAATAAATGGACTTCAATAAATAACTTAATATGTAATTGAATCTTCTATCAATTTTTCATTCTTGTGCTCTGTGTTCACCAACATCCATTTTTCTTTCGACATTCGCCAGTGGCCCTTCGTTTCCCTTGTCCTTTCCCGGTGCTGCTCTTCTCACTGACATGCAAATATTTTAATGACCGATGATATATTAGGAATAGCAACGGAAATCCAGCACCGATACCAGCAACGAGACTTGTGATGATGCAATGCGAAGCAAAGCTTATGTGATACATGGCTTCCGAACGATAGACGCTATTTATTTTAAATAGGAATTTTTTTTCGCCTTGAATATTTGCAGGAATTCTGAACATCAAACATCGGAAGAGGTGGATTCAATTCGAAAAGCATGCTTTTTTTGAAGAGTATGCGCTGTTCTGAATACATTCAGTTAGTTGATGTGTGCCACCAAATCATGGTTGATATCATTTTGAATTGATCGGTTCTGTATTAAACCGTTTTTAATACATTAAATGACTATTTGTGCATAAAACCAAAATCAATGGCAAAAAGCATCTTAGAATTGGAACGCAAATGCATCGAAATATAGAAACTGTCCAATAATTGAAGAAGGTTGTTGTAACATTTTTGGAAGAATTTTTTTTCTAAAAATAGTTTCTTCCGTAGAATATCCTGCTGACACATCATTCAACACACATACACATACACCCGAAGCATTAATCAGTTCCATCAAAACATTTTACAATGTTTTTTAAATGCTCATATTCAGAACACAGGTAAAGGAAACACAAGTTCGCTAGAAGAAACAGAAGAAATTCGACCACAAAAATTGAAAAATGCAATTAGCTTCTTTTGCATGCGATATAATCGGCTTTATTTTGCATGTGTTTGCTTTGTTTTTCATTTTCTGTCACTTTTTCGTCGTACACATAAATGGAGCAGGACCGATGGCATTAATACATACACATGGGATCATCCGAAAGCCTAATGACTTTCTTACTTTCCAGCAATACAAATGATCGAGATATTAGAAGAAATCATTCGTTTCCGAACGTTTGAGTGAACAGCACCTATTATTTTTGCGAACAAAAAAGAAACCTCATTGTGCTGACCAGTAAATTTCTGATTTTGAAGTCTATCAAATCGCACATTTTTGGTTAAGTGCAGCCAAAACTATTCGATACGTGTTCCTTAAGTCAACAGCTCGCTTTTTTCAAATATCGTATACAATATTCATATTGCAAATCAAACACACAAATCAACTTTCAAATATTCGATACACTTGATTCAACACTTGACATTCAATACTGTGGAAATGGCAAACGAGTTGAAAAGTACTACTGCATCGGAGTTGATCGCAAAGATGTATCTCAACGAACAATTAGCCGACGTTCACTTCGTGTTCAAATTCGATGATGATGTCCAGAAGGTGCCAGCACATAAATTAATATTGGCATCTCTAAGTCCGGTATTTCATGCGATGTTCTACGGATCATTGAAGGAGGGAAACGAAGTAAAAATTGAAGATGCCGATGCCGATACATTCAAGGAGTTTCTTCAGATTTTCTATTTGAGTGAGGTGACAATAACTATGGAAAATATTGAGACCATTGTTCGGTTGGCCGACAAATACGATGTTCTCGGATATGTGAACGCTTCGGCCGTATTTCTCAGAAGCCAATTGACAATGGATAATGTGTGCTGGGCCTATCAGTTGGCTATGAATCTCAATAATAAAGAGCTGATCGAGTTCTGTGAGGATAAAATTGCCAGATCGCCAAAAGAAATCTTTGCTATAGATACATTTGAACGTTGTAACAAAAGTACTCTTCAGCGCATTCTGAAACTGGGCTTGATATGCAAGGAAACCAGCATATTTGAAGCCTGTTTGGCGTGGGCTAAACGCGCGTGTGAGAAAGATAATTTGGATGGAGCAAAAGCGGTGAATTTGAGATCTCAACTCGGCGATTGTTTACAGTCAATTAGATTCAGTGCAATGACAATTGAAGATTTCACAACTATCGAAAATTCAAATGATGGACTCTTCACTTCGGATGAATTCAAGGATATAATGCTTAATTTAACAGCAGAAGGATATGAATCGAAAATATTCAAACAAAATCCTCGAGTTTACAAGTGGAATGAAAATGACATTTTGAAGTGCGATCGACAATCTTTGGGATGCAGCTTATCAAAAAGCCTCAAAAGATCAGAAGTCGTTTGGTTTACATCAAATCAAACACTACTTTTGGGAGAAATTTACTCTGCTTCCACAATAGGCATGAAGAATAAAAATAATCATTATAGTCTTATTTATCAACTATTGGATGCTGTAAATGTAACGATCACCGAAATCAGCAGAGATACTTCAAAAAAAGTTTTGTATAGGGGTTCATCATACTCGTGGGAACTAACTCATCATCATGATAGACTGAAAGTGGAGTTAACGCAACCGATTTTGATCAAACCACGTATTATGTATGAAATTTATTTTTCAGTACTCATCGGAGTTGATTCTTTGAGTTATTACGAAGGATGGAAGCCAACTGTTGAACTGTATGATGGAATTGAAATTCAATTCCATCGAAACCCATCTCATACGGACTATGATACGTCTTCATCTGGTTGGATTCAGTCTCTAAGCTTTAATAAAATTTAAAATAGAGTTAAATTTTGAAAAAAGCATCCAATCGCATGTAAACTCCAAATACAATTATTTCTTTTACCTAATTTGAATAAAAATGTGACAGATTTGTCAGAGCAATACACATTGAATTTTCATTTTTTTTTTTTTTAAATCTCATTATTCACATGAATTGATAATATGATAAATGTTCTCATTTGCATACGTTTTGGCATTTATTCGTTTGCGAAAGACATTCCTTTAATTTCATCAAAATACAGAATTTGTAATCGTCAAAATTCATTTATTTGTAGTACCATAAAACAACGAAAGTTCCTCATTCAAATAAGAATGGATAAATTCACGAGTATTGAACTAACCCATGTTTCAGTTGTCATTATTTGTATTATGACATTTTCAAGTCGAACAAAGATTGAGGTTAGATTGTTACAGCTCGTGCCTATTGAGCCGATTGTTTTACCATTAATTTGGGTTTGTTTTCATCGCTTCGTTGAATAAATCCGATAGTTAGCCGCAAAGATGAATTACTTGAGTGAAGTGCGAACGGTGTTTCGGCATGCGATCCGATTGCAACCGGGCCGATTGAGTGTGGCAAACTATTCAAAAGTGGCCGAACCAAAAGACGATGAAATCTATGACGAGGACAAGGAAGGTGAAAATGTTTCCGACCACTTGGTGGACGAAGTGGATGTGGAGGCTCGTGAAAAAGAAATTGAACGTATGCGAAACAAATCCCGGTTAAATAAAACGCATCGAAATTTCCTGTTTGATTTACCAAAGCCAAACGAAGAATACAAATGGGATAAAACATTGTACTTTAGTCGAAAACAGTTCGGTCGTTATGGTTCGAAAACTGGAATTGATCCACGTCTCTGTTTTTACACGCCCGAAGAAATTGCCGATCGTGCCGAATTTCAACGTGTTCTGCATCCGTACACCATTCAGCAGATGGTTGAAATGAGTAAAAAAGCGAAGGCAGAAAAACAGGCAGTAATTTTGGAGCGTGAAAAGAAAATCGCACAGAATCTAACGAAATTGGACAGATGGATGGAAGATTTGCATAAACGTGTCGCCCAAAAAGAGGAGGAAGCGCGACAGGCGAAGGCTAAACGTGAAGCATTGTTGGAAGATATTCGTCAAGAGTTTGGCTTCAAAATTGACTACAAAGATCCACGTTTCAAGGCTCTGATGGAGAAGAAGGAATTGGAAGCGAAGAAGGCAAAGAAGGCCGAAAAGAAGAAGAAGCGAGAAGAGCAACTGATGCAAAAACTCAAAGAACAAGCACAAGAAACGATGGAAAAGGGCAAAGATGCGAAAAAAGCCGAAAAATCGGATGACAAATCAAAGGATGCGAAGAAGGAAAAGGAGAAAGATGATAGTGGTTCGTCGAGCGATAGCGATAGTGACAGCGACGATGAAAAGGATAAACAGAAAAAGTGAATTTAGTTTGAAAATATGAAAATTTCCATTAGTTGGCTGAATTTTCTTTGTTACAGAAATTTTTATTAAATAAAATTGAAATTAAAATAATTAGAAAACAAATGCATTTGGGTCTTTTATTTCGTTTTATTTCGCCAAATTATACATTTCTTTTACAATGACTTTTTCACTCCGCTGGTTTTAGTTTTACTTGCTCCAATTTTCTTAGCACTACTCGAAATGTAGAGCGATTGGTTTGTTTTTTTCTTATTCTGATCTCTCGACAGATGAAGTCTGTACAAATTTTCAAAGGTACTTAATATTGAACAAATACTATAGGATTCTTGATTTGTTGCATTGCAAATTTGTCAAAAGACAAAATTTGTCTTATCGACCGCCGCCCGAACCACCTTCGGGGCTCGTTGCACCGGAAACGAGTACAAGAATTGCCACTGGCACAATGTACATCCAGTATTTGGCGAAAAATCCACGATGATCCTTCACTTCACCATGGTCGCGTGCTTCACGTTCACGTTCCAACTTTTGAATGAAACTGGCCGTATCTGGACTGTGTGAGAAAAATCAAAGATTTTATGTTAATTTTGATTCGATGTAAATATTTTTTTGGCAAATTTAATTATTTTTGCATTTTTTCTTTTAAATAATAATTGAATTTCTTCGATGGATCTTGATTTTTCATGAATTCGAAAAGAATTCCGAATAATTTTCAATGAAATCAAATGAATTTCAGAGAAATTATTATGATAACGAAAGAAATTCAAGAGAAATATGTAAAAAAATTGCAGTTCTTTTATAGTGTGAGTCATCTCTTTAAAAAAACGCCACATGCAAAAAAGGAAAATGCCATGACTTCGTTAATACATACACTTGACCGAGTTCAGATCGCTTCACCAAAACATCGGTATTGAATTCTTCGAGTGCATCTTTGTCGATGGTCGAATCGCCACTGCAACTGCCGCCACTTCCCAGCACCGTATGTTGAATGCCCAGCACATTTGCTGCATAATCCACCGATACCCATAGAATGTCATTCAATTGAGAATTGGCAAATGCACACTGAAACAAACAAAAAATCAATTTAAAAACTCCATTCGAAACGCAATGCATTTCCGATGAGAGAGACAAACCGCTTTGGACGATGTGAGAAAAGTGGATTTGGCCCCATTGCTGTGAGTCACAATGGCTTTCAGTCGATAGAATTTGTTCTCTTCGGCCAATTCCTTGAACATGTTTCGTTCGCTGGAGCTGAGGTGTTGTTGTGTCAATTGAAATGAGCCGGAATTGATGCTCGTCACTGATATATTCCCCCGTGGCGTAAACAATTGTGGATTATTCTTGTCGATGGCATGATACAAATCAATATTGAACCAGCTATCGAATTCCAATATCGACTGAAATACAAAACAAAATAAACATTAATTACGTGGTCGTATCGATTGATATTTTTGAGATAAATTAACACTGTTCAAACATCGTGCTAAGTTTTGGGGAATACTTACAGCTTGTATGGTACTTATAGCTAAACTAAGAATTAAAATTTTACTAAACATTATGCTAAATGTCGGCGAATCAAGTGATAAATTAAAAAAATTTGCAACCAAAATATTTGAGAACTTGGTTTTGCCACTGAATCGATATAAGTGTTGTTGAAGCAGTGACGTTTAGTAACGAGTGCGTTTTGTGCCATGGAAATGATGTTTCATTTGCAGCTTTTTATGGCAAAAGCATTTCCATCGTGAATTCGACACTTGTGATTGTGAATGAGTCATGTAGATTGTGATGCAATTCCTACACTTATTATCAATAGATTCGTTTGAATTATATTTGTTGTTGATTTACTTTTTTGTTTTTGCAAATGATTTTTACTTGCTGACGTTTGAACATAATAATAATCTCTATAGAGAAAGCATATAACAATTGAACGAGACTCGTAGTGGTATTTTCATTTTTCGACTTGCTACATTTCGCTCGTGCAACGTATGCGCGTAGTCGTTAAGTGCTCGGTCGAGACGATGCCTACTCATACTTACCTGGTGTAGAGGTTATTCGTGATCATCAAGGCGAATCCTCCGGAATGAGGCTCTTTCATTGCACTTTCGAAGGGGCTGAACTCTGCGATTAACTCTAATGCAGTTAACTCGTGCATACTATTTTTGGTAGCCGGGATTAGCGTTCGCGCTATCCCGAATTTATTCTGACATCATTTAAAATAAATAAAAGCAAATCTAGGCAGAAGATCTGTTGTTTCGCCATGGATTTTGCATTTTCCGAGACAAACTCATGCAAAAAAATCAAATCAAACTTATTTTCATGTGATTTGAATTTTGTATTCATTCAATTCCTTCTCAAGCGAAAGAGTACGATTTGGCTCTATTTGAACCTTAGATATCGAAATAATGAGAGCGCCATCTGTTGTAAGCACTTGATTCTTTAGTTCATAATACTTTGAAATGATTCAATATTGACAGCGTTGAACGTTGGCATTCGGTGTAAACCGTCGAATGAATTTTATGTACACACGATTTATCACATTTTTCAATTTATATGAATATTTTTTGAGCTCAAGATTTATCCTAAAAATCATAAACTAGCAAATGATAACGGTTGACGTGAGGAGGATTGAATGGGCAAATGGTTTTCTATGTGAAAAAAAAAACAATTGAATTTATTCTATTTCGATTGCATTATATCAACTTATGACTATGATAGAAATTCGCTTAGAACTGAGCTGAGCTGGTTTATCACTATTTTTTTTTCTAAAGAATGTTTAAATGATATTTCTAGTACCTAATTTGAGCTCAAAACAATGACATTGAACGTGATTACGATTACATTAAATAATAATATTCGAAATATTGACAAAAGTACAAACAAATTCGAGATAATTACGCCTGTGCGGAAATTGGTGTTGTCGGTGTAGTATTGTTTATTCTATTTGTTCGACCCATTGCTGATGTTTGCAATGATGTTTTTGTATTCTTTAAACGTAAAAATCAGGTTGGAGCGTTCGCAATCCACAAATTCTTTCAGGCTCATGCAATTGAACTGAATGTGTGCGAGCTCGGCTCGTAAATTGTCCTGTGTATCAGCAATCGATTCTCTCTCGCAGGATTTCCGTGCTCATTTGATGCAGGTATCAAATGTTTCTTTTTCGTTTCGATGACGCGCATTAATTTTAACGATATGTTCCAGTGTGGTGGCGCATAGTGCGCTCGAAGCCTATATAAACAAGATGCCTTACATTCGTAAGGTAAAATTTCTACACTCCCAAACATATGATTTCCAATTAAATCCATGGAGAATTGCATTGGAATTAGGAAAGAATCATATTTTAATCAGACCTTAATATCAGAACGATTTCAATACTCTGTTTTTCATACATTGTGACATAGCAAAATTCTTACCGTGTTTTTTGCGTACAGCGTATAGTGCACCATGCACCTACCCTACATAACATGAATAACGCTGGAATTCGCCATTTTCGGCGTTTAAAAATCGAAAAAAACTGCTTTTTAATAGATCAAAAAATCTGGGGTGAACGCTATTCACATTTTTTGCATACAGCTTGACGGTAAAGTAGCATCAAATATGGCTTGTTCAATGCGTAGCATGATCATCTATTGGTTAGAAAAATAAAATATGCGGAAACTCGATAGCAGATAAGTACACAAGCACCGCCTATATCATATTGTGGTCGCGCAGTGAAGTGTGTATGAGAGAACAGCGCAACACTATGACGTTTATGAGTTGATGCGCCGTTATTCATATTGAGTTACACAAATGCATACTCCTTCACTTTGAATATGGGTTGCACTGATTTTTGCCGATTCCAGCTAATGCTAATGACAACGAATGAGCAATTGTTTGTTCGTTTGGTTTTATTTATAAAACCTTTATTTCTCCGTCCATGGTGATATGCGGAGTTTTCCATACAATATTTTTCTTCAACATGAACGACGCCAGTTGAATCTATCAAAACATAAATTCAATGAAATGGTGATACAACACCAATTTTATGATCTACTCTGCAATATTGTTTCACCGCTTCTCTTGTTTATTTTGACATTTGCATGAATGCAGCGAATGAGTTGAGAAAATCTGTTTATAGGTACTGCAAAATTGCGGGCACTTAAATCGGTGCGGCACCGAGCTCTTTCTGAAAGTATAATTCTTGAGTATTTTTGAAAATTTTCAAATTTGATAGTTTTTCAAAGAAATAATATGATTTTATATTGCTGAAAAAAATATGAAATTATAAATTATCGCAATTTATTTTTTTGTGATTGTACTAGGTGCGGCACTCAAAATCTAAGTGCCGGCACCGATTGGGTGCCTATAACAGCTCTGTCTGTTTGAGATACTGAGACATTCTGAAAAGACGAATCGTTTTGAAAAAGAAAAAGATTCGTATTGACTTAAATTGAGCAGATTTAAATTCCATTTTTAAATCGCATTAACCAATAGATCCGTATATTCGCCATTGACATCGATATGTGCGATTTGACCATTTATCGTGGTATTCCTGCTAGCAAAAGAACGGTTTGGTTCATTTTGAGAAAATGCGGTAATATTTCATTAGAAAAACCTTTTAATACCAAAATCTTTAGAGAATTTATAAACATCTTTTAGCCAAGTGTACTAAGTTGGTCTAAACTATCGAAAATAAGCCACCGATTATATGGGCAAGTAGGCTGTGAAATGTATTCGAAATACAGTGGCTGCATCGATCTAATTACCTGTGATTATCGTCCTTTATGGAAATGCATAGAATAATCGAATGTTCAAGATGAACTGGACTGTTTTTAACTACAGTAAAACCTGTCAATAACGGAACCTGGGAATAGTGGAGAAAAAAAATTTGGTCGTTGAGCTCTTCCATACAAATTGACCTGTTAATAACGGAAAACCGAAACTCCGAATAGGGAAAAAAAAAAATGTCTTGACGAAAAAAAAAATTTCGTCTTTTTTTCGTGTCTTTTTCATTTAAAACAATATTTTTTCCTTTATCAAAACCAATGATCATGATGAAAATCCTGCAGTACAATTGATTTCAGTATCATGTTTTACTTTCGTCTGCCGAAATCATTGCTTATTTTATCCAAATGAATTTTTGACGCTCCCAATAAAAACACATCCACTCGATTAGCGCGTGCAATTCAGTATATTTATAGTATAGAGTATTATAACTTAGTAATAGAGCATCATTTACTTTCTCATTTTGAGTCACTGTTTAGACTGCTTGATTGTTTTAAATAATAATGTTTGTCATTCACTGTTTTTTTTTTTTCATTTTTCGATCTTTCCTTCATTCATTCATTAAAAAATCCTTCCTTCTCACGATTATTATTTCACTTGATTTAATCATTAAATGGGTATTTAATATTTATGGGTATAAAAATGTATGCTTTGGTTTTTTTGTTTCTTTTTACCTACTCAATAATGGAAAATCATGTTTGGTTCGACTCAAAAATCTGTCAATAACGGAACCTTTGAATAGTGGAATTCTTGTCAATAGTGGAAAAAAACAATTCCTCATGGGATTCCGTTATTGACAGGTTTTACTGTACAAACAGAACAGAAACACGAGAAAATGCCAAAACAAGAAGAAGCTTTGGTTTGCAAAGGAAAGAGGTTAGTATGCCACAAAATTTTGTACTTCATGGAACAAAGTGTATGGAATAAAGTTCTTTCAGACTAGATCTTGTATGACCATCTTCATGGAATCTGAATATTAATTCATATTGTATATGAAATATCAGTTCATATGCTTCTAAGTACAGAGTGTCTTCAGCGGTTTCAGTTCCTTTCAGGCCAAAGTAAATAATGAATACTTGGAAACAATATACAAAAATGAAAAGTCGCTGGTGGGCATTGTGTTTTGTTCGTTTATTTCTTTAATTTCACAATGTAACAAATATATTCATGTGTTTATTAGTTGTAATTGTATAACTCTCTGTGTGTGTGTGTTTTTAAAATATAATTTCATAACATTAATATCCTTAAAATGTTCAATGCTTCGTTAAATCTATGAATGCTCGAGTGCACCCGACTGGATGCGGTGAATCATTGCTCACTGACATGTTCTCTCGGTAGAAAAAAGTCAAATGTGCCTGTAAAATTCAAAACAAATCATGTTGCTTAGAAAAATCAACCTGTGACATCCACTGATCGTGGAAATCTGAAGAAAAAAAAATCTGTCCATCTCTTTTGTACATCGGTTGGCACTGAGTCATTCATAGAATTAACAGAGACTAATAAATGTTTCACTTTTTTGTTTTGTTATCAGTTTTCAACAGCACATAGTAAAAATAATGAAAAAAATCCCGAAATGCTAGCCACTGTGCAAAGTGGTGAACGCGCAGCGCATCGCATTTCGTTTGCTCTGTTATAAATATATTTAGAATATAAATTACATTAGCTATGTCTCAAAGAATAGAAATGCTTCATTTTTTTTTTCTCTATCTGCCTGTATTTGCTGTTCTTCTTCTTCTGTTTATTTAAAAACTAACGCAATTTGTTTTACTTCAATGTTGTGTATTTTTATGAATCCGATCAAAAGATTTGTCGCTCTTTTGCCAGGAAAGTGCAAAGAAATGTCAAATCCACCGAATGAACAAATGTAAAGACCGGAGTTTAGGTTGAACATTCAATTAAACACTGTAATACCTTTTCAAGTATTGTTTTCTTTTCTTGCTCTTGTTCTGCAATTCGATAATAATACATATGTAATAATTGCCTTATAATTGACGAACAAATTCGAGTTTAAAAATACATTACATTAAATTTCTTTCATTCCTTAAGAAACTTTTCTCAAAAATCTGGAATTTTCTTTTCGGTTTGTTTGTTTAATTAAAAGCAATCATTTTTTCTGGGCGAATGTTCATTTCGATAATAAAAATAGAATTAATTTTGTAGAAGGAAAAATTTAGTTAAAAAATAGAAGGAAAAAAATTAGATAGAATCAAAATAAAATCACATCTTGACAACTCGAATAAAAACGAGAACATGAAAATAGCTTCAAAATTTATGGACTTGGAATTTCTACATTTATTTTTGATTGGGTTGGTTGAATTGTGGCACATTTTTTTTTAAATTTCTTTTCAAATACTTTTTAAAATAGCTTCAATTTTATTATTAAAACAAAAAAAAAACGTTTTTTCAATCGGGAATTTTTTTTTTTAAAACCAATCTGACTATAGCAGGCCCATTGTCGAATTTCGAAATGAACGCGGTTTATTTGATTTTGTTTTGAGTGTAATGGGGCTTGTGCCAATCTGTGATTTGTCTGTAAAACTCAATAAATCCACCTTAATAATTTTAACGACTCTGATTGCACTAGTTGTATCTGTTTCCATTCAAAATGCACGCTCACATACATTTCGTATTTCAGTCTTTAAAATATTGACAATGGCAATGTTGCTCGACACCACCTTTTTTCTGATGCACTTGACTCAATTTTCAATTTTTTGTGAAAGGATTGGATTTTTCTTTTCCGAAAGTGGAAATTGTATCTTAGTCTTCGATTACTTTATGGATCGTATTCGATTGCTGGTCGCCGGGATTTGCTATCCCGGTCGATCGTATCAATAAAAGAGAGCCGATTGTTCGTTGCTCTTTTTATGGCTGCCATGTTTCGGGCCAATAATCAAAAATTTCCATACTCATGCCATGCGATATAAATATATCGCGTGGAGTAAAATTACTCTTGGATGGAGCAAACTGAGTAAATTTTAAACCAGTACTCCAATTTTAAGATTGTCAAAAGCAACGTTCGTTTCAGAGAGAAAAATGAACGAAAGAAAAAACCAAAAATTTATATAATGATAAACACACAAATGTAGCACGTAATTCCATTGACATCAGAGAGATATTTCAAGCGTAATTCGATTCAATTCAATTCAACACTTATAACAATATTGAACTTGCAAGTGAATTGGTTTCGTGGAAACAAAAAAAAAAATCATGTGGCTTGTAATTAGTGGCCGCTAGAAAATGAGAAAATGTATATTTTTTCATTTATCACATTCAAATCATTCGATCGGATGGAAATTCAACCAATTAATCGAGGCTGAGACAAAAAAAAAACAAACTTCCCATGGGATCGAACCTTTGGCAAAATATTCTTTAGCCGAATTTAAATTTTAAATTATATTTTTTGTTCTTAGTGAGCTGAATAACGGTCGTGGAGCCAAGACGATTGATTGCTCGGTAGAAAAAATACAATCTAAAAAAAAAATTCGTCGGTACAAAATGAGTTTTTCTATTCAATTCCCAAAAATTCGAATTATTCGATTCAAATGTTTTGTTTCTTTGTGTTCCAATTCAAATATTCTGGAAAGTAAATCACCAAAATGATTGACGGAATAGATTTTTTTTTTCTCCAAGGTGTTGTTAAAATAGGTGTTTTTTTGTCTACTTTAAAAAATATTGCCCAAAGTTCAAGCACAGCATGCGTGTGTTTTGTTGTTTGTACTTATAATTTAATAAATGCATTTTCAAATATTGAAATGAATGTGATAAATAGGGTATTTTGCTTTTGTTCTTTTTTTTATGTTTGCTAGTGACAATATATTGTTGTTGTTGCTTTTTTTCTCTTTATATTTTTTCAATATTTTATTTTAGTGGAACAGATAAAATGTGTTGGTAATTCGATTTGTTGTTGTTTGTTTTGTTTTGCATAGAAAATAGTAAACAGTTTTGTTTGTTTTGCTAAATGTTTAAAATCAACGCGTATAAAAACAACTGCATAATTTGCTTTTTATAAAATGTGTGTCTGATTATTTTTTATCTTCTTCATTAAATCGCTGTGAGAAATAAGACTGTGTAAAAGATTATTATGGCTACACTATCGCTCTAGTAGTGATTCGTTTACACGAAGACAGTTTGGCACTCTGGGGGGTTGGTTTTGCTCTTTCTTTCTTTTCTTTTTTCTTTTCGTGTACGACTTTAAACAAATGTCCATCTAAACCGAAATTTCCAAAGTGGAAATGAATTTTTTTTTTTTGGCCAATGTATGATTCTGTTTAAATATATCAAATATTCAACAGTGTTTCTTTTCTCTTCTTCCATTTATAATATGAGTAGACTGATGGATTAAAAAAAAGTACATCATTCGGTGCTTATTCATAAAATGGCTAAATCAACTAGATTTTTTTGTTTGTTTCGGTTTCAATTCGGAAGTCGGTCAACGCACACATAATTAACAAAAACACATTCAATTCGGTTTAATTCAAGTTGTGAACTCCGTCGAGAAATGCACGTAAGAAATGTATATATATCGAAAGCGACCAAATTTGATTAGCAAACAAAAATTTACATAGAATTTCATCGAATTTTAACACGATCGCCTAAATCACGAACAGAGATTTGTTTGCGACTTTTCGTTCCATCAAACAATGAAATCGAGTCGATTTTTAATCGATAACAATTTGAAATTTGAAAAAAAGCTCGAAATCGCGGTCATGTGTATTTAGTAACAAGTCAAACCATTCTTGAAAAGAAGCATCGAAATGCCGTATTGATAAGAAAATATCGATGTTCGCAAAAAACAAAAATAAATTCGATGTAAATAAACCGAAAGTGCCGAAATGGGTACGAGTTCGAGTAAACAGCGCAATTTGTGAAGAATTACACTTAGACATGTGTTCGATTGACCAATGACAGAAAAAAAGTCTTCTTTTTTTTTAAATTAATTGACTGAATCATAGTTTTCGAATGTGAATAACGTGACGACCGAATTTTTTTTTTTAAATCGAACACACTGAAAAAATGGACAAGAAAACAGATTCTGGTTGTAAAATATCAAGAGAGATAATATTTTTTACATATTCAGAGAGCGTTTTGTTCGTTAAAGCTGCACTTTCGTTTCCCTCACCACGTCGGGTTTTTATCGATACAAAAATATTTCTCTTTCTTTTTCGTTTTCGTTTTCGTTTCTTTACTTTTCACTTGATCCACACATATTTCCGTGTGTCTCTATGACTTGATACACTTCTTCCTCTACTTCTTATTCTGGTTCGTATGTAATGTGCCAGCGCATCATTTATGTGAACATTTATAAAATATAGAGTATAAGTCCCTGCAGTTTGAACAAAAAAAAAACTAAGTGGTTTGTTCGCTTAATTTTGTTTTCTTCTTTTTCGTTTTGTATGTCTTTCATTTTGTCCCTAAATCTGTATAAAAAATACCATTTCCATTTGTGTATTTCTATGTGTGATTTGTTCATCATCTTGTATTTTCTAGGTGTGTTTGTGTGATTTTTCTCTTAACTTTTTCCAATAAGCCTGGTTTAAGTCTCTTTTTTTTTCGACTGAAAATTCGACTATTTCTTTCTGACTTCTGTGTGTTATTCTTTTGTTTTTAATTGTCAAAAAATTTTGTGACATACTCTGGTCATGTTTTTGGACACACATAAAAGTGTTCTTAGGAATAAATAAAAAGAAATTGTTTGATTATTTTTTTTTAGTTTCTCTCACTATTCTAAAACATTCATCAGGTCAACAGTCTGGAAAATAATTAAACTTATGTAAAAATTTGTGTTTTTGTTTATTTCTCGTTTGACTCTGTCGAAACTTGGTTTTTTTTTTTGTTGTTGTTCAACATTTTGCTTTGTTAAATGTTTCGAATGTGAAGATGGCTGTTGTTTTTTTTTTTTGTTAAATATATTCTACGTTCCAAAAATGTTGAAACCGTTAAAAGTATGTAAGAAGAAACCTTAAAAAAAAATGAATGATTTGTTGGAAATTTTCACTCAAGTGAAACTAATTTCCTCCATTTCTTGAATAGATGAGATGAATTCATTTTCATTAAACCAAGCGACATTTATCAAGCCCAATGGCGGGACAGTGTGATCACGGTCAAAGGTTTCTTGGAATGCCATCAAATGGTAATGGCAAATGTCAATATTGCGATTTTTCGCAAAAAGTCACGGAATGACGACGCATTTACTAGAAAAATGTGAAAAGATACCTGCTTCTGCACGCCGTAAACTCATACACATGGAGAAATACGTCGATCAAGCTAACAGTAAATTTTGAGGGAGTAAATTTCTTCAACTATGAACTTGAATGTGAAAGTTTGCAGGGAACGAAATAGTTCACACATCATCGGAATGGGTTATGTTTTCTATCACTAAATACAAAAGCCGTTTTCACATCCAAAAACATTCTCATTTCAATCGTTGTGCAGCCAATTGATCGATTCATTGACATGCAATGACAATAGTCATCGCAACATGGACAGACTCTCAGTCTCTCAATGCGCATTTGCATGGCGATTATTTGATCAATTAGATTTGTTGGAAATTTTATTCTGGTTCGATTGTAGCTGCGTCTGGTGGTTCATGTTCGATTGAGGGCAAAGCAAAACGCTTTGAAAGTGTATCTCATTTGGGCGTACTGTCGGCCGATGTCCAGCGATCAAATTCGATGCCCGAATCGGGTGACACACCGATTTGGTTGTAATGTTTTTGGCATATCAACTGCTGTTGCAGCGTTTGATGTGGACGATGATGATGGAATGGTGGCACAACCGGTGACGACAACGAACATCCACAGCAATCTGAGTACACGGAGTCCGTTGATTGGGCCGATTGCGGTGTTCGGCTTGGATTCTCTTCCATTAACTGCCGTTCGAATGCGTGCAATTGACGCAAAAAATGGAAATTTGGCGATATGTCTGGTTTGCGTAAACGCACCAATGCAAATGCCTCTTCGAAGCTTAACAAACGTGAGTGCATTAGATATGCGAGTGTCACAGTCACCGACCGTGATACACCAGCCAAACAGTGCACCAACACAGCCGAATCATTTCGTCGTGCCTCGTCTGGAAAGAAACGTGCGAAAAGAGAGATAATTGTTGAAAATCGAAAGATATGATGACTCAGCGACGCACGTCACCATTTGATCGGCTGGTACACAGCACATTTCACCATTTGCTACTTCGGTCATACATTCGTTCATGCGAATCAAAGCAAACTGTGGCTCGTGTGTACGGTTTACCAGTTACAACGTGTGTGCGAAGCTGTCGAATTATTGCGAAGTGAATTGTCGTCTTAGTTCGCGCCTCATGTACACACTTTCTAACTGGTAAGCCGTACTCACACTATACTCGCATCAACGAATATATGACCGAAGTCGCAACTGGTGAAATGTGCTGTGTACCAGCCAAAATTCTGGTAACGCGTATCGCTGAGGAGCTGGTTTAAATTCAAAGAAAGGAAAAAAAATGAATTTTCCAAACAAAAAAAAACAAAAATCGTCTCCTCTGAACAAAAGCTAACGATAAGCTCCGGATTTTGTTTCAAAAAATGTCTCCTCACCAATGAATTTGATGGCAGTTGGAAAGTACATGGACAGATCCTGCGATCCATGGTCAGTGATTGGAATTTGAAGATATTTGATGTCCGACGTATTTTCAAAATGGTTTGGAAGATCGGGCGTCACATTGAGAATGTATTTAATGTTGTAGCATTGCAGTGCTTTCAAGTCTTCACTGTGCGATGCATTGCCCAAAAATAATCCAGGAATAATTTCAGTGGGTGCATCTGATTGTGGATACGTAGAACCTTCGCAGTCCGAAGATTCGGCCGAGCTGCTACATACCGAATCGGAATATGGTATAGAAATTCGCAGAGACCTATAAAAAAAATTGGAAACAATTGCAATTAGTTGGCAAAAATTGATTGATCAAAAATGTTCGTTGATTTACCTTAATCCCATCAATGGTTCTGAATGATTAGATCCATGGTTTTTGGTGCTTTCGGTTGATGAGACACTATCGTCTTCACACCATTCAGGAAAAGTTTCACGAAAACTGGCGAACCCATCTAAAAATATCCACACGGCACACAGACACACAGGGAGAGAAAAAAGTAAAGAAAAACAGAATACAATGAGAAATTCAATTCACAAGTTATTTATTCGAAGTGTATGATGCGAACGGATGGCAAAAAAAAAAAAACAAAACAAAACAAAACAAAAAGCATGAGCAAACATGAATGTGTTCCCATGGGTAAAGTGTTATTGCTTTGTGGAACGCGATTCCAATATTATCGCTGACAATTCATTGAACTTGTCAGAAGTATTTCATAACGATACGAGAGGGGGAGCGAGAGAGAGATAGAGAGGCGAAAGAAAGAATAAAATGAAAAGCATTGTTTTTTTTATTGAGTTGCGAAAGCAAGAAAAAAAGGGCAGTTTCGCATTAATGTAAATGGATACGGTAGAAAATGTGCAACGCACAAAACGCATCAAACTCTCCAGTGTACTGGTACGTACATCGATACATTGGAATGTGTGTATTCTCTCGCTCTTGTTCTCGTTGCCAAATGGTTCTTCTGCACAAGTTGCAAGGTTTTTTTTTTCCTTTATGGTGTTGCGCGCGTGTATTATATCTCTCTATATAGCCTAGGCATTGCTGCGTTATAGAACCACACACATTCGACTACAACTTGATCTAACCTTGACCACGGTAGGGAAAAAAAAAATATTTTCGTTTTGTTCGTTTCATTTCATTGGAGTGGTTGGTTGGTTGGTCGTCCCTTGCATGCAGCACTCTCTTTCGTTCTCACCGTGTTCTGTGTGTGGACAACAACAACAACGACGTTGGCAAAAATACTGCATATATGCCACGACGGTAAGCGTGTTAAATAGAACAATCTCTGGAATCGATTTAATACTCGCTAGCTAGTCTTTTTTTCGCTCTGTTTTTTTTTTCTCCTCTACTGTGGTTTATGTGTGTACTCTTCCGTGCACACATTAAGCGCTCAAATTTGACAGAGAACTTTTCCCAATAAATTGGAATTTTATCTGTTTGGCAATCTCATCGCGGGCGCAAGTGAGCAAACGAGCGAATCGCCTAAAAGCCACAAATCCAATCGACACAACACGCTAAGTGTTTATGTATTACGAGGGGGAAAGAAATTACACAGCGATTTTTGTCTCTGATTGTGTAATAATGATTTGGAGCCAAATATAGTTGGGCACATGAAAAACAAATCTATTGACAATCGATAAATTTGAATGGTTTCCAGTAAAGTACAAATCGATCTCATTCTCGCACATTTTGTCGCTCTCTCACTTTGTCAGCGCTCCTATCGCTCACGAGTTTGCTGGCTGAGGCACGATGTGAGAGTGAACCAGCGAGCAAACGAACGAACGAATGAACGAGGGAGCGAGCGAGCTCAATCATCAAGCATGTTCTTGACCTTCGTTTTTATAACACCAACTGAATGACTCAACCACCATACAGTGCACTTTATTCATCGGCTGGTGTATCCGGAGCATGTTATTTTTCATTCTTCATTCGTTCTATCGTTCCGCTTGACAATATGAGCGAGAGAATGTATGTGTGTGTGTGTATCATGTTGAGCAGCATGCAGTGCCCAACGCCAATGAAATGTGAAATATGAAATTGCGAATAGTAAACAGAACATGACTCTTCGACTGATATACAAGTTATAATCGAGCAAATGACCCATTTAATTAGGAGTGAACGAAGACGAACGAGAAAAAAAAATTCAAGAACACACGAAACAACAACACGGCACATCGCAATTGCTTCGAATGACCTGTAGTCAAATTGGAAGAAAATTGGCAGTGAGGGCTGAGAATCTTCGTAGCACGAGAAAAAAAAGAAGAACAGAGCGGAGTAGAGCGTTGCGCGCAAAGGCAAAGCTTATTGCGAAAAAGCAAAAGTTTCATTGGCTTCAGTAAAAATGAAACCGCAACCGATGGCTCAGTTCGTTTCATTGATAAGACACATAATGAGCGAACGGGTGCGGGAGTGAGAACAAGAGCGAGAAAAAGGGAGAGAGAGAGAGAGAGAGAGAGAGAGAGTGGAGAAGCTCGTTCGAACGCTCGAAGCTCGTTCGAACGCTCGAAGCATGCATGGCAAGAGAGCGATGTACGACGATTTCCAATGATAAATAATAAAACGACGGATTCATCATCGACATCGATGAAGAACTTTTGACATGCAGCTAATTCATGAAAAACAATTTTGTCGCATACGCAGAGCACACAAATTAACAAAGTCATTGGCTGCTGCTGCTGTTGCCACCGCTGCTACTGATTATGATGAATCCGACGAAAAATCGGACGGAATGTCGTCGACAAAGTCTCCGATTACCCATACAATTCGAATCAGGCAATGTATTCAAGAGTTAAATATCTCTCTGTCACATACCGAATGCGTGCGCGACAGAGACGGAATGCTTCACATGAAAACAGCAACAACAACAAAAGAAGAAGAATTATTGATAGCGAGCAGAGTACAGCGTATAATGTGCGTGTGTGCTGCAAACGATGTGTTTATTTCTCGCTCTCTCGTTCTGTGCACACAACAAAAACTTAACGAAGCATTGGCAAATGCCGAAGACACAGAGTCAAGACACAGATGAGAGAAAGAGTGTGAGAGACGTACGAAAGGAAGAAATGAAAAGCCAAGCAAAACGCAACACCAAAGAGACGAAATGAAAAAAAAGAAGAAAAAACTAATAAGAGACACATAACAAGAACACACCGAACCCGATGTGCGTTTCGGTGTGCCTTACACACTTATTCATTTGTTATTTGTTGTTGCTGTTGCTGTTGCTGTTGCCTTTGCTTTGCTTAGCTCGCTTGCTCCACACTGTAGTGTGTGAGAGTTTTATGTGTTGGATGTGCGTATGTTTGATTACCTTTGAGCCAATAAACATGGCAGCCATCTTGTTTGAGCCGACGATGCAGCACGTTGATTGTAGTCGCATCACTACTGTTTGCGTTCGATTCAACGGAATTTGTAATTGCATTTGAGTCAATGCTGGCTATTGTTGTTGCCTTGTCCGATGTACTGGTTTTGTTGGCAGCCGTTGTCATTACCTAAATGCAAAACGAGAGGAACGAAAAAAAAAAACACAAACGAAAAATTTATTTATTTTGAGCAACAAAAACAAATGAGAATGAATGAAGCGCCTTTTTTGTTTTTGTCGCAACGAATGAAAACAAAAAACCACACGGAATATCGCTTAGTCGGCTTGACTGTTCTATCGAATGCTGTGTACATGTATTTGATCTTGTTTATCAAACAATACAAAGACACCACCAACGGAATATTCGGCAAAAAAATTTTTTTTTCTTATTTTCCCGCCACTAAGCGAAAACGTCAACACAATTGCCTGTGTCGAGTGGTAGTGTGGTCGCGCCGAGTGTATTTTTGTGAAGTTTTCCATGCGTTGCGATTGAAAAAAAGAAGAAGAAAAGAAACAGTATCACGTTGAGCATAAATTACCGCGACGCTGAATTTTTCCTTTTTTTTCCGTCGTTGAAAAATAAGAAATTGTTTGCAAAAAAAAAGAAAAAGAAGAAGAAGAAGAAGAGGCCAAAAGAATCACTTACATCGTTGTATAAAACAAATAGACTGTCCGTATATGCGCTTTGAATACGTTGCTTCAAATCGCGATTCTTAATCGTGGACGTTAAATCAATTTTGCCCGTTGCCAATCGCTTCAAAATCAAACTGGGTATGGAAAAATTGACGGCCGAACGGATGTGACCTTCCTGGAATTCATTGGAACTGCGGCAATCTAGAACAATCAGCGATTTGGTCGGCGATCTCAGCTCCGACTGTAGCCATTCCTTTGACACCGCATCGATATTGTGCTCGGGCATTTTTGAAACTCGGCCGTTTTTTTTTTCTTCTGTTCGTTCACTTCTCGCGTCGTTTCTCGACAAGGGTATTTTTCTTGTTTAAAAAAAAAAACAAGTTGTTGTTCGACTTGAAGCAGAAAATTAAAGCAGAGAAGAATCCTTGTCTACGTTGGAGGATCCTCAAACGCGTTTCGTCTATTTATTTGAAAATCGAACCAATTCAATTAGGTTGTCTCTTTCAGGTAAGCGTGCCAAATCTCCTTCAATAGCGTAGTTTATCTTTAGTGTTTCGCGTCGACACGAAAAACAGAAGGAAAATTATGTGTTTGGGCTCTGTTCTTTTCCTTCTTTTTTTTTTTTCTTCGCCGTCGTCGTGTGTTTATATGCTCTTCTCTTGCAGAGTTTTTGTTTAGTCGTTGTGTGTTTTCAATTAGTTCATTTAAATCGCGGTTGTTGTTGTTGCTTTGGCCATGCAATTATTGGGATTGCTGTCTCATAATTTTTCTTTATAACTTGATATAAATCATACGTAAATATAAATAAATTCTGTGTGTGTGGTTTTTTCTTCTTCTCTACAGTCGAAATATGAATTGCACTGTCACAACCATCGATAGTGTGTAAAATTCGCGTCGGCATAAAATATCTGTTTGAAAGTGCTTAATTTTTGTTGAAAATCAGTTTATAAGAGTTCTTTTTTTTTCGTTCTTTCTTTCAGTGTTTGTTCTTCGTTATATAGATGATTTTTTTTTTCGTTCATTCGATTCAATAATATTTCATTCGGTTGGGTTGCGTTTTTGTTGTGAGTTGCTCTCTCTGTGTGTGCTTTTTTTTAATTCTTGTTTTGTGGCCCGATAATTTGTATCTCTCGCGCTCTCTGCTGCGTTATATATACACGTATATATATATATGTATGTTCACATGCAGTGCTTCGTGTTCTTCGTCGCTCCGTGTGCGCGCTCTTGTTGCGGCTGCTGGTGTTGTTGTTGTTTCTTTCTGTATTTTTTTTTTTAATTCAACGGGAGCAATGTTTCTCGCACATTATTCTAGACATGTTCACTCATCGCGGGCTCAACAAGAGCTTCCTGTATTACATTTGTGAACGAAGCGAATATGCGAGTGAGGTGGCGCGCATTTGTATTGGTATGTGCATGTCAATTTTCGCAGAAACCAACGGTGTATCGCTGAATCAGCTCAGTTTTTTTTTTTTTTGGATTTTTAGTCGACGGTTTTCAATTCTCTTTTTTTCCGTTCTTTCTTCTTCGTTCTTTTTTCTAAATACGAAAAAAAAAATAAATGTTGAGCCACACCGATGCCTGTTTATATTTCACCAATCACACAAAAAATCATCAACACGCTGAACACTTTCGATGTACGCGTCAACTGTATTTTTTTTTCTGCTATTTTCTCTTCTTTTCAAACCAAAATTCACTTTGAACAACACACAGAGTAAAATATTATTCGATTGTTGACTACTAATTATATTATCCGTAAAGAATCCCACGGGAGATACGTTCAGTTCATTTCACTTCGATTTGACTGTCTTTCATTCCGAAATGTTTCGTTTACTGCGTTATTTCTGTCTTCGTTCTGTGTTGTTGTTTTTTTCTCTTCTTGTTATTGAAATTTTCTTCAGTGGAAAAACATAACGAAATTCGTCATTGATTCACCAAACAAAACAAAACACACACACACACACAAAAAAACGATCTCTTCGGTTCATTGTTCATCAATGTGTTTCATATGCTCTGTCTCTCGTTCGCCCATTTCCTTTCGGGGAACCGAAAGCATCGAAGATGCAAGAGAGAATATGATGTGAAGATAGAGAGTAAGAGAGACACACATATAAAAAAAAAGTCAACAACACACCGAATAACGCACCGAAAAACCAGCAAAATAAATGTTGAATTTTGTACACAGTGCTACTACCATAAAGTATTTCTTTCGGTCGTTTTCTTTTCTCTTTCTCAATTTCCTTTTCACTGACGGATTATATATACGGCGGAGAGGCGAGAGCCAAGCATCAGCATCAAGCAGTAACAGCAGCCGAACGACCGAAACGACGATAGTGTGATGTGCTCTATCTCTGGTCAAATGCGATTTGTTGAAATGTTTGTTCTTTTACATTTAACATTCGGTGTATTAATACACCAAACACTACTCTTAGCGTATTGTTCACTTATAATTCACTCGGTTGAAAATAACAACACACTGTAAGAGAAAGAGAGAGAGAGAGAGATGCAAAGAGTGAGAAAAATGATAAACACACTAGAAAAAATTGAGTTTTTTTTTTTGGGTTGATTCAATTAGTTTTTCACCGTATTTTTTTTTTATTAGTGTGTCATAGAATTAAGATTATTCAATGAAGCCAGAAAAAAATATTGTTCTTGTCTGTGGCATTTGGGTTATACTCGGCTGTTATCAAGGAACAATTGAACATGTTGAGGATTTTTCCTCTTGCAATCGCTCAAACACTTCACCATACGCGAGCAATACAATTATTTTCGTTCATTCTTGTGAAATACACACCGAGAAAATGCAATGACGAGAGAAAAAAAAAAACAAAAAAAACAAATCAAACTAAATCGAATGCGATGAGCACTAGATTTTCGTCATGATGACGACGATGATGATGTTGTTGATGATAATGATGATGATGAAAGAATGAAAATTTCAACAACAACACCAAGGAATACGAAAAAAAAACAACAACGACGACGAAATTATAAACACAAAACATACAATAGGATCTTATTAATGATATACAAACATAGCACGCGCGATCCACACTCATCGAAGTTTCGATTAACATTAACAGAGGAGAGAATATCAACTAGAAAAATGTGTGTTCTGTGCACAGTAAATGAAACAGAACGAGAGAGAGAGAGAGAGAGAGAGAGCGCCAGCGAGCAAGCGAGCGAACGAGCGAACGAATGAGCATACGACCATAGGCATGCAGGCACGCACACACAAGTATAGGGCACGTACTTTTCGCGTTCCACCGACGTTCAGAGCACTCAGCAGCAGCACATCGGCCTGAGTTACATTCTGTCTTTCTCTTGCTTGCCCGCTTGCCACCTCTATTTCTATCACACCAACGACAACGATAGCGGCAACGATGGCGACGACGGCCACACGATTCGGAAACGCAACACTTACACACAGTGCACGCTCGCACGACAACGACAAAGAAGCATCTATCACAACAAGTTTTGCGTAATCTGTTTGAATCGAGCAGCAGCAGCAGCAACATCATCACAGTTGTGGTTGTACGTTTTTATACAGACGTTTCAAAATAAAACGAACAATGATTACGGGTATATATGAATGTACACATGAAGCGTGGTTACGGATGCGTATCCTCCCGTTGCGTCGGGCCATATTCGTTGTTGATTCTGGCCTCTCTTTGTCGTCGTCATTGTCGTTCTCAATGCATTCGCTTAGCGTTTCATTTTCAACACATGATACCTTCAAGTGCACTCAATTTTTCTACACGTTGCATCGTGCATCATGTTTTGGTGTGCAGGCATTCGATTCGATCCATATATGCCGCACTTGTACGTGACATACAACTGCAACGGGCTGCTGCTGTTGCTGTTATTGCTATCTTTGCTTTGTGATGTGAGACGATTTTATTTTCACCAAACGAACAAATGACTGTAATTCTTTTTAATGATATGACCAAAAGAGCCGACCTCAAATAGCCATAGCCACACTCATCAGTTCTCGAGCGCATTTTTTTATGCTTCATCTTCTCTTCTCTTTCTCTATGTGTTGTTGTTGTTTTTTTTTTTTTTTTTTGCACATTCCATCAAGTCATACGATATCTTCTTCAATGCAACGTTGTACATACATATGCAGCCAGATTCGATTTCTCAGAACATTTGATGTGCTGGACGACTTTCATAAGAAATGAGCGGTTCTTTCCATACTCGTATGTACCAAAAGCAATGATTGGGTGTGTGTTTGTGTGTGCTGTTTCTATTAGAAATTTAGTTTTTTTTTTTGTTTGGTGGAGCTTCAGAATTTGGATAAAAATCGATATGCAGTTTCTTTTCCCCTGAGCGCCTTCAATGACCTTAGATTTTGTGTGTAGCGTACGAGAATGCCTGACACATGCCTCAATCGAGGGATAAAATCACAGGGAGAGAGAAAGCGTGAGCAAGCGAAAGGAATTGGTTTTTCGTGTGAGATTCAATTTCTCAATTGTACCGAAGGCGTTTTTGGCTTTCGATTGAACGCTGCGGAATGTCTACAATTATTATTCATTCAAACTTGATATTTGTAACATTGTTGTGTATATTTCCGATTGTTGAAATTCAAATTGTTGTGCTAAAAGAAAGCAGATCCTTTACATGCGCTCTCATATCTTTTCGCTCAATAAAATATTAATTATTTCAGTGACGTCGTTCACTTGAGCTTTAAATTAAAGAATTTATGCGTTTCCGTTTTGTGATTTGGTTGGTGTGTGTGTGTATCATTCGCTTTTTCGCACACTCTCCTCATCGCGCTTCATCTCTGTCTCCGTCTGCCTCTTCAATTTCTTCGATTAGATAGATTTTTATTTCTTCTGCACATTTTCAACACATAAAATGAACAAATATACCGTACATGTAAATACCTTTGCATATGTAAACGCGGACGCGTGCGCGCGAACGCATTCGAAACAAAAAAGGTAAATACCGAGAATACAACACAAATATTTGTGTGCGTCGACGTCATTTCATTCATATATCAAAAATATGCGGCAAATACGACGGACGAAAAAGAAGAATGGGCGAGTAGAGAGAAGAAAAATAAAAACGCGCCAAATAGTGAATCGCAGGAAGCGAACACAATACGCCCGCCTTCTTTCAATGTGAGCGTATTTGTGTGTGTGTGTGTGTGTGTGCATGGTTCGTGTGAGAGTGGCAGCAACAGCAATACAGCAGAACAGTACCAACCGCCGCAGTATGGACTATGGGAATGTGTGAGTGAGTGTGAATTATTCTATATAGAGTGTTCATGCGTGTGCTGAGTCGCCTTATATCTGCGGCTGTTGTTTTTTTTTTGTCGTCGTCGTCGTCGTCGTTTTCTTCTTCTTCTTCTTTATTTCGTTGCGAATCCGTTTGCTGCACACCAAGTGTTATGATTTACACTGGCCTCGGCCACACAGGGGCAAAAGCGTACGAATCCGAAAATTCTCGATTAATTCCCATTGCTAATCTTTGAATTGTGATCATGGGCCGGGCTCATTCATTGAGCAAAACCGTTGCTTGTGTGTGTGTGTGTGTGTGTGTGTGTGTGTGTGTGTGTGTGTGTGTGTGTGTCGAGAATTCGAATCAAAATCATTTTCGCCCGAAGCCTATATTTTCGCAGCAATGAATCAAACGACGGTTTCGGGATTGGTTGCCGCAATTTCTTCTTCAATGGAACATTTTCACTGCGAGCACATTTGTAAACGGCAACAGAATGGTACGGATTCTAGTGAATGGTTGTGTGTAGGCACTTTCCAAATAAAAAAAAACCGAATCAACCAACTTGAGAATGAAACAAATGAACGGATAAGAAGAAGAACGACCGAATTTTTATCAATGATTTCATGTTCGGCAGGTTTCATTTCTTCTCCTCTCTGATAGACAAGTGTGGCATTTCGTTGTGATGGCACTTTTGATGATTTCTCTGAATCGAATGCCGTCGATTGTCATTTGATAATTTATTTTTCGGTTCTTGGACGTCCCTGACCGCCGTTAAAAATGGAATCTATTGAATAAAAGTAATACACATTTGATATATCGAGCGGAATATATAACATTTTTTTCCCCTATAAACACATTTCATCAAGCTAAATAGCTGTACAGTTCAATTGCGTTATCATCGTCATCATTTATTATCGATCTGATTAGCGAGAAAAAAAACAGACAGTTGAAGAGAGAGAGAATGAGAGAGAGAGAGAGAGAGAGAGAGAGAGAGAAAGAGAGAGAGAGAGAGAAAGAGAAGGCAAGATCCATGAAAAGCGGGCAAACGAGTGAGATGATGTGATTATTGTTTGCTTTTCAAGCTTCATATTTTCCATTTAAGAATCATTTCGCCCACTCGATCACCGAAACATTTTATGTGTAAAAGTCCAGTATATATATGTGTGTGTGTGTGGCAGCATTTATGAGGGGTGCGTAATAAATAAAATGCCCATGAATTGAAGGTACCAAAGAGAAAGAGGGAGGAAGAGTGTGAGAATGGAAAGAACGCCACATTCCGTAAGTGACCATGCTCGTTTTCAATGTTTTCATGCTGATGAGTTGACGTGTTGGAAGATAAAACGGTTCTTTTTCCTCTCAATATACTTTGGTTGTTGTTTTTTCGTTCATGAATGGAAGAGCAATGTGGGGTTGCGAGTGTTATTTTTAGCGTTCATTTGTTCTAGGACACACATTCAATCGATACTTTCAACCAACTCACACACGCCGTGTGAGTTGTTGCTGGCATTTTTTTCTCTCTTTTTCATTCCAAAGTTTTCCATCATTCAACTTTCAGCATTTTTGCCTCAATCGTATCGTATTCTCCAGCCGAGAAACTCTTGTTCATTCAACAAAAACGAAGAAAAAGAAGAAGAAAAAAAAAACACCAACCAACAAGAAGTGAAGATACTGTATCGCACAAGTGCACTGATACTAACACATACAGCTTTTTTTTCTCTATTCATTCTTCATTCACTATAGAAAAAAAGCGAAGCAAACCTAAAAAAAAAATACATAGAAATAAGTGTATATGTACGTAAACAGTTATATGCGTTTGATTTATTGAAACACGCTAAAAAGTCAGCCGAGTGTTAGCTCCACAACATACAGTTGCAACCGTTGGTCGCGCACACCCACGTGAACGACACACATCGCATTTATTACACAAGATGAAAAGACAATTACACACACCATACGTTCCTTCCCTCTTTCTCTGTTACTTGACTGCTTCTGCTGCTGCTGCCTTTCATTTACCCGCTGTCGCCCGCCAGCCCGTCCATTCATTCGACTGAATCATTAAGAATGGAAGTTGATATATACGTGTATATCTAGACAAGCAAAATGAACGTGCCTATACACTAGAAAGGGTGAAATTCCATGAATGAATTTTGTAGCGTATATATAATTATATGTATATATAGAACCCGTGCGCCTCGCTTCATCCCGATCCCATGAATGAACAATTTTTATAATTCAACAAAAGTGTTTAAATGCTCGAGCGGAATTACTTCAATACGAACGGAATGGTATTCACCAACGACGACGGGAAAAAGAAATAAACAACGTACACTGAGAGTTTTTTTCCCTTTCCATTACCAATTCGGTCTCGCGCGTGATTCTCTATAATTCAAGTGTATGGGAGTCGGGGTTTTGAGCTAATGAATCTGGTGCTATTGTGAGGGATTTTGTTAGTCTATGACAAGAAAACCAAATCTTCTTCTACTTACGCACGCAGAGAGGAAGAAGAATAGATGTATTTACCATGACAGACACACAAAGTATTCTAATTATGGAGATATGCTAGTGAATCAGCTTCTTTAAAATTGATTTTTTTTTCCGTTCTGGTTCGTTCGTGATGCGAGAACGAGTGAGTGTCACCTCAAAATCGAGCAAGCTAACGCGCGCACACATACACAACCACTCATTTCATTCATAAAAGTGGTCGATATTTTTTTTTTTATTCTTCTACTGTCCGTCTCTCTCTATCTCTCTGTATCTCTCGGGTTGCGAATGGTAGTAGCTACTGCGCGATGTCATTCATTTGTATTATCTTCGATTCGGAGAAACGAGCATGAGGCAAGCGACGAAATCACATTGACAAATGTTCTATGGCGAACAAGCGATGCCGAATACAATTGATTAGCAAAACGAATATATTCACAAATTACATTTTGTGTTGTGTGGCGAACAAGAAGAAAAAAAAAAGTGCCATAAAATCCAAAACGAATGAACTAGGGTAAGGATTCATCAGACTGAAATACTAAAACTTCGCATCACAATAGACTTATGCCATGCAGAAGAAGAAAGAATAACGTTATATTCTACATACGAAACCCACTGAAACAACAATCACAATTGGAAAGCGCAAAAGAGGGAGAGGTAGAATCAGAGGGAGGAGAGAAAGAGAAGACAGACAGAAAAAGAAGCAATCATATGCCACAAAGTTTGCTGAAGCTAGCGAGAGAAAGCTCCCAGAGCACATCGCTTATTGATTGTGTACAATAATTTATGTATATCTACGTATATCACAGAGAATGAGCCGCCTACGCAAATTTTTATTTTACATACACAAAAATTGGTCGAAACAACACAAATGTAGCAAGATGCTCATAGCAAAGTGGCAGCAGCAGCAGCAGAAGAAGAAGAAGAAGAACGATAGTGAGAACTTGAGCATTTGATGGCATACGATGGCCTTTTTACGATGAAACTCTTCAGATGTTTTCAATATATGACAGCATTTTATTTTTTCGTTCATTTATTCGTTCCATTTTGCCGCTCTATACGCGCGCTACACATACTATAAATATGCGAGCATTGTGAGTATAGAGAGCGAGAGCACATTTCGCTTTTGTACATGGGCACAAAAATAATCAATGAATACCCAGGCAATCGTCTTCTTCCCCCCCTATTGCTCGTAACAGTCTCTGTCTCACTCCGTTTCTCCGCAATCCGTATCACGCTTGCTAACTACTGATGTTGCTGCTGCTTTGCAACCCATATAGTTAGTATATGCACATAGCTGCTGCTGCTGCTGTTGCTGTCGTCTCCATGTATATGTACAAATGTGCTGCATGAATGAATGAATGTGTCGCACGGCTCAAGTGCCAAATACCAAGTGCCATTTGCTTCTTATCTGTAAATAGTGTATACAGAAACAATTTTCTTCCATTCGCCAGTTATGAATGAAATCGCAAACGATTTCGCGTGGGCTATATGTGAATTTTCTTGTCCTTTGTTTGACTCCAACAGAGAGCACACAGCTACCAAAGGCACACACACAAACATTTATATCAAATATATTTACAGCGTGGCGACACGCTTGGCGTTCGCGTCTATTCAACGACCAAATGATTCAATTGCTCGATTTTAATTGCAGATCTGTCAAAAAACGAGAAATCATATTAGCAAATAATGTTGAGAAGATGAAAGAAAAACACGAATATCCATATCAATTTTGCTGCGGCATGTCGAAATTGAGAACAACCAAATCAAATTGAATTCATTAAGCCATAAATGCAAAGTAGGCACAAAGACAAGAGAAAAAAAGAAGAAACAAAAATAAATTGAGTAGAAAAAAAAATTGCATGATATGATTCTTGGAACGTAAATAAGAAACTGTAGGAAATTCTGTAGCCAATTAGCCTTGTCTGCGAAATTGGAAAATGAGCAATTGAAATTTGCTATTGGAAAAACAAACAGCAATTAAACTGATGAGCAATGGGAAGAAAAATATTGGTTTTCGTTGAATATATTTATATTTGAGATAGCTGATAATCCGGTGACTGAACAAACGTATTAACTGAAGATTTTCATTTCAAATCTTTATCGATTTCAGAGGCTGAAACAACGAGATACAGTGACCGAGAGAGAGAGAGAGAGAGAGAGAGAGAGAGAGAGAGAGAGACTCAGGGAACGACATATAGAAGCAAGCAAAAAAACCGTAGAGCCGTAGACAGTGAACAAAAGAGAGAAAGAGAAGAGACGCGAAACAATGTCAGCCGAACGCATTAAAAGTGGCAAGAACAATAATCTACGTCCATTTGAAAAAGTTCCCATTTTTGTGGTTGAGGACCATAATGATGTGCTTCAATTCGTGTATAGGTGTCTGGGCGCCAGACGTATCCCATTCACCTCCAACAAAATTATCCATTTCGACTCACATCCCGACGTAAATATTATTCAATAATAGAATTGATCGTCTATATTTTAAAAAATAAATGAAAAAAAAAATAATTTTCGAAAAAAAAAATGTCCCTATGCAGATGACCATACCAAAATCGATGCCCGCCGAATTTGTGCGCGACAAAGAGAAATTGCTGGATACGCTGTCGATTGAAAATTGGCTAATGCCCACCGCTTATGCCGGTCACATTGAGCAATTGATTTGGATGAAACCGCATTGGGCCACACAAATTGCCGATGGTGACTATGAATTTTCGATTGGTGACCACGCCGGATACATTCGATGTGATTCACCGCTTGAGTATTTCCTCGGCGAGGGCACCTATCAGCCGAAATGTAATTTAAATAATCAACGCCTAATCAATCTGAGGGTATTCACATTGGATGACCCGTTGATAACCGGTCAACAGCAGCAGCCGTCTCAATCACGACAAGTTGAATTTCAAAATTGCGTCGATGAGGCCAACGACGGCTTTATACTGGATATTGATTTGGATTTTTTTAGCACCGCCAATCCATTTAAAAAAATGCTCGAAGAAGGCGTTTACACCGATCTCAAACGGTTGTTCAAGGCTGATTTCTTTGAATCGGTCTTTGACTCAAAGGCCACCGAAGATGATTTGGTTGCATTTACAAAACGACGCTCCGGATTTCTAGATGCTTTGGAGAACGTTTTTCAACAGCTTGACCGTAATATTGCCGCTGAAAATCTTGCCATTGCCGACAATTTGGAAAAGTGCAAAGTTCAAATATTCGATTTGATACGCGACGTGAAAAAACAACACCCAAACAATGAAATCGCATGGCAAACAATATTTGACGCTGGCTGCACCTTCGACTCAAACGAACTACCTCATCATATTTCCAGTGAACAAGAAATTGAGCGTCTCATTGCGATTTTTAAGCAATTCTTAGAATCATTTCGGAACACACCGTCAATAATTACGATTTCAAGGTCATCAGAGGATGATTATTGCCCAGCCGAACAAGTTGAATTCATACAACAGCTCGTCTTAGGTACCATTTATAGAGTGTACGGCGATCGAGTCAATCAAAAACCGATACTTTTTTACAGGGATGAAAATTGGAGTGTATAGGCATCTTAAGTTAAATCCTTGTTATATCCATTTAAATTCCGAAACATTTGATACAATTCAAAATAAAGCTCTTGAAGAAAAATACAATCCGCTAAGCATTTTAAATCGCTTGATACCTTCGCAATTTTTTTAAACTGAAATCAAAAATAACAAAAATGTTGAAAATCAGCCGTTTTAATAATTCAATTAATCCAAAGATGAAATTAATACGGAAATTAGATGCGATTATATAAATCCGAATCAAAAATAAAACATTTCAAAATTAATCGCCAATTAATTCGGTTTACATGTACACTGAGCGCCCTCTAGCGTATTTTTTGGACAATTGCAGTGAAGTTGTCAAAATCACAAAGACACATCGAATCTGTGTTTACTAAATTTTATGTTCGTACAATTCCTTTGTATTTCAGTGTGCTCTTGTTAACCAGAACACTCGAAATTTGAATGTTGAAATGGAATCATTTCAGCAGCCAGCGTTCTATTTTGATTTGCCAATGGACGATTTTGATCCAAATCAAGAGCCCATCGATGGTGAACAGTATTTGCGAAGTGTAATCTATGAACGAAACCATTGCCCAGCCGTTGTTGTGAAGCCAGTCAAAAAGAAGAAGAAGAAGAAGAACGTTGGCACAAGCCAACCAGCCAACGAACCAAACAGTGTCCGCTCCATTTGGGATCAGTATGCTGAGGTAAGCTGGTGAGAAATGCAAAGAAAATGAATCGTGTTTGGAATTGGTGGAAACGTCCATTTTTCCTCATTTTATCCCTAGGTTGAGAGTAAATTGAATCATTTTTACTTTTTTAAATTCCATTCAACTAAATTGAACCTTTTTTTTTTAATGAAATCTTTAGGTGGAAATGGAGGACAAAACGCCAACTTCGTTGTTGCCCACAGTCGAATGGCTGAAAATTCAATCAAATTTATTCCAACAGCTGCACGACCGTATCACACTCATTCGCCAAACGTTCCAACCCGATTACGAGCACGTTGATTTACCCGATCAGAACACAAATGAAGCCTGGCTAGCCCATTGTCAAGAGAAGGAGCCCCTTTTGCAAAATATGCTACATATACATCAACGAAATTTGGAACAGGTCATTGAATATCAATCAAATTGGATTGTCGACGACATTGATTGGTATATGATCAACAAATTCTGGTATCCGAAATGGGTTTACAGTTCATTAGCTTGTTTACGACTTCCGTGCGAACCAAATCTTCTAAATTCGTTGCGTAATATCGCCAAAATCTGTCATCGCCTGCGAATTAAATTGAATACTGAGGAGGCAATTGACAGTGCGACACCGTTAAGTTTAATCATTTGTATTGTATCACGTAATTTCAACCAATTCGACTTAGGAGGGAAAACTCAATAAATTATAAATCATATTTGTTTGTTTCCAGTTCGATCTAGTGAGCTAGAGACCATTTCAATCATTTTATTTTTTTTTCTCCATCTCACAAAATTAAAATAAAAGCAAATTGTTTCCATAGAAGAAAAGCGATATTTGTTTGCATCATGTCATGAAACGAGAATAAAATTTTGAAATCGTTATGTTGAAACCGAACCGAAGCGATTGAATTTCATTTATGAATGCATTTGACGCGCTGTTTGTCGTCAATCCAGATTGGAATGAAATAAACAAGCCAGCAAACACACGAGACAGAGCGAATATAGGTCGGTAATCCATTCCTTGGAAGCAGCAAGGAAATAGTTTAAGTAAGCGGTAAGCGAGCAGTGAATAGAAAGGCCAAATGTTTGAATATATTTTTCTAAAAAAAAAGGTCAATATTTAGAGAATGGTCTTGGTGTTATTGTTGTGGTCCCCGAGTATCGTATGCATTTTATTTCATGTGCATATATGTGTGTAATGCATGTTTGTGCATCACTAAAGTGAGTTGTGACGAGCAACTGGCTATCAAATTTCAAAAATTTGTTCATTGCATTCAATTCGATCCGAGTCGACCGAGAGAGAGAGAGAGAGAGAGAGAGAGAGAGAGAGAGAGAGAGAGAG